ATTAAGTCCAAGCGATATCATTCAATTTACTTAAATATTAAAGACGAAATCATATGTACCTAAACCTCTCCAAAATCACAAATTCAACAAATAGAATAGTAGTAATTGAAAATAAATAATGCAAAATTTAAAAGGGTATCAAAATTCATGACATTTTCTCAATTTATATTACCTGAACAACTCAACATATATTCTGTTTGAATATATAATAATTGAGGATATTGATTTATTTACTCTGAGAAAAAATCTGATATCTTTCAAAACTGTCATGTATTGATAAATGATGCTGAAATTTTATTTTGTAGATTATTTGATTTAGATGAGCAAATTGCTGCACTTCCAAAATGCAATATGGAATCTTTTACTAAAAAAATGAAACAGCAAGTGTCTGGAGACAATTTTGCCTTTCATGATGATCGTTTTCATAGTGATACTGATCCTGCTAAAGATCCTGATTTTAAACCAAGTGCTGCTATTGCTAGACGTTTACGGCACCAAGGAAAAAATACAGATTCAACTTCGGGAACTTCAAAACACAATAATTCTTCAAGCAAAAGATTTAAATCTGGGTAAGAAATCTAAGATGATTTTAAAATGTACCATTATTAATTTCTTCAAAACGTTTTTCGAAGTTTATTGTTTCTATCTGTCTAGTTTGCTTTATACAATTATAAAAATTACAATTAAAATAAAATACCAGTTATTTAACCAGTTATTCATTTCTCATCAAAATTCAGATTCAAAGTGATCACAATTAAAGAGTTCATATTCAGAACTCTCTGTAGAAAGAACTATTGGGCAAATCTCAACCTAATTTAGTATACATACTGTTCTGTGCATGCAGATTTGATTTCTGGGAAAAAATTTTACTTTAAGATTCAGTAGCTAGAGCAAAATTTGGTGCTATCACGTAATGTGTATATTACATAAGTTTTATAACTAATTTTTGGTATAAAAACAATCACTATTCTTTGACAGGTGAACAGTCATGCTGCTGTCTTAGCCAGATAGAAGAATTGAACAAGTAATGCATGTTAATGAAATGGCAATGCCAGCTTGGCACTTAAGGAATTTTGATCTTCTTCTGATTAGGAATCTTAGGAAACTGATTTTGCATTTTGAGGAAACTAGAACTTTGCTGTGAAACCAGGAGAGGGTCACAAACTAATTGGATCTCTGAAAAGTGAAACATTGCTACTGCAGTAGTAGAGCTCAGAATGATAATTTATCATGGCAGCTAATAGTACATATGTAATATCTTGGCAATTAGACATTTCCTACACATCAGTGTGGAAGGTTTAGTACGAAAGGTTCCAATCCATATGAGATATTCTACAATCAGGAATAGCTTTCTTGTAATAATGATAAGTGAAAAACATTTTCCACGACATTGTAGTTTGGATGATAATTGATAATGGATGGACTTGACAAATTCTGTGGAGTGATGAGGCTTATTTTCATTATATGGTAATGTGAACACATAACTGTTATGTTTGGTCTGACAAAAATTCACATGTTCACCAACAAATTCCATTTCACTAATCAAAGGTAACAGTGTGATATGGTTTCACAGTACATTTTGTCATTGGTGTTTATTACTGCACATGGGCCAGTGACATTTTCTGTTAATACCACTAAGTATGGCAATATGCTCCAAAACTGTCATTGCAGCAGGAAATTGTCTGAACACAATCCTTAAATGTGCAAACCTTACTGCAATGTTTTTGCATGGAAGAATAATTAACTGATCATTTCCAACATTATAGTCATTAAATCTAAAGTGCTTCATTTTTCAAGGCAATGTTTCCAACCTAGCTGTCTTAAAAGGCAAAATTTCACAGGTGCAACAACTGTATGCAGGTCAGTTTCATTCCATCATCAAGTGTGTTGTGCAGCAAATGCAGTTTTTAGAGCATGGAGATGTAGATACATGTCTTTGATATAATTGCCAGTTTCACATTCCACATCTGTAATCATATTTAATAATTTTGTTTCTTAACTCCTGAAATTTGTTAGAAAATATATATAATTTGCATATTAAGGAGAACAGCAGTGCCAAATTTTAGCCAAGCAGCTGAATTTTGAAGTAAAATTGTCTCAAAAATTGAAACCCCACATACAGAAAAATTTGTACCAAATTTGGTTGAGATTTACCCAATAGTTCTTTCTACAGAGAGTTCTGAATACCTGCTCTTTAATTATGATCCTGTATGTGTGTGTGTGAAGTTGTATTATGTATATATCCACTTTTTTTATACAACTATAGATGATTAAATTAATATTATTAATATGTTGTTTTGTATGATATTGTCATGCTACAAATTAGTAAAAAATTTAATTTCTTCATTTATAAGTATATTAGTAACTTTTTTGAAATATAAAATACTTAATTTGAAAAAATAATTCAGAGTTATAGTTTTTGATGCCAAAATGACAGGTAATTAAAATAGTAAGTTTTACTTGCTTTGTGTAGTTTAAAGTCTCTGATGAAAGCAAATTCCAAAAACATTTATGTAGTTTGAAAAAATCTTTATCTTTATCATTTATTATGGACATATTCCATGATAGCATTCAACTGGATAAGTAATGACTACTTCAACGAATAGACAGCATTTGTGTCAAATACAATATAAGGAATACAACTAATGATTTTATCTGATTAATGGAATTACAATATGCCTGCTAATCTTGCCATTCCTTGTACAGATCAATGTTGGATTAGTGAGAGTGCTGGATTACTGAGAGATAAAAGATGTTAGTTTAATTCTTTATTAACTTTAATGTTATATGTTTACTGTCTGTAGTGCACATGTATTTAAAAATAAATAAGAGTCTAATATTTGTATACAGTAAAACAAATTTAAAATGTAATACATCACAATTGAAATATTGCATCTTCTATTCAGTGTAGTCACTTCAAGAAATGTCAGATTTTTATTTGCTTTAATGGAGATATCATTGATAGCATGCTTTATCACACAATCATTGTATGAGCATTATATCAGTACTTCATGTGTCTGGTTGTTGCATTATGTACTGCAAGAAAATGTCGCACCAGCTTCAGCACCAGCAGTGTGAGAAATCTTTGTTCTCTCTGCCTTTATGGTGTCCTCTTTCTTATCACTTTCATCTTGCACACTTTTGATAATTTCTTCATCTGTTAAAGAATGGTCTGTCATAATATTCCTCATTCAATCAATTAGTAATGTCCTCTTCATCAACTTCTTCTCCTGGAAGCTTATGGAATATATCAATGATCACAGCATCTGGAAATGATTCTGAATTGACTGACTCATTATCACTAGATACAGACTCCAACTTAGTGTCAATCGAAGGCAATGCTTTTTTTTCAACATTTCAGTATTGTAGTACTCTCTGCAATGTCCCTTGCTTTTGTTGTTTGGAAAACATCATGCATGTTGATCGCCTTCTATGCTTTCAGCATAGCTTCTTAGATTTACATCACAGTATACTATCCCAACAAACAAGATTCAGTAGATTTTTTAAGTGAGAAAAGTGTCTGCTTGGATATTAAAATAAAAGTCATAATTTTTTGTTTTGACTAAGTTAGATGGTAAAATTGTCAGAGGAATGGCAATTAAACTTACAGTATCAATAAATAAATGATAAAGTTAATTTTGTAGAAACTAAGAAAAGAAAACAAGCATAAGTAATAGTGACAGTTCTATATGAGAAATCAATTTTAAGCTGAAAATGTTACAAATGCTATTAGTGAATTATACATACTATAGTCTACTTGACTTACAAAAAAGTATAAAAAAAAAAATAGACAAGTGAAAGAGGGAAACAAATTTCAAAGCAGAATCTGTAAAGATTTATCAAAATAATAATATACAGAATGCTTACTTTATGGAGAGAATTTTTATATTAATGAACAATGTGAGATCCGAAAGGCCCTGGGTCTAATTTATGAATTTTTATTGATAATGTTAAATTATCGACACAAAATATTACTTCATTTTTGTGAAAAACTAGTGTTTTAGACGTGGGAAAAACCCAGATAACAGATGCTACTTCCTTTCACAGAAGAGAACATCCTCTGACTTTTTCTTATCTGGTTAAAAATCTCGCTCAGATGGGAAATGGTTACCCCTCATTCATCCCCCTTTCGTCCGTTCTCATGAAAGAGTTACTGGCCGATGATTGGTCGAAATTCAGGAGATATAAGGGAAATTAGTCCGAATTCGAGGAGTTCTTCGACAGATCCAAAGCGTCAAAACTCCACACAGTTCTCCTCCTGATGACCAATGCCCATAAACGAGTCTCATAGACTAAGTCTTGAGTCTGAACTTAGTAAAGATACTTTTATATTTGTGCACATATCGTTCTCCCATGTTAAGAAGTAAATGAACTTTTTCTACAAGGAATCCTCTGCCACTACAAATGAAGACGAACGATGACAACTAAACAGGTCGTATGTTTTNCCTAGAATAAGTCTTAGCCCATAGCTTGTCGCTTAATTGTCGTTCATCGATTATTTGTATTCGTTTTGTTTTAAAATTATTAAATTTACTTTTGTTAAATATACTTAAATGTCTCTTGAATTGATTCCGAATCAGATCGCAAACGCGTGTTTGTCCGCAGAACTTAATTGACAAACTGGTGTCGGGAACCTGACGAGCATCTGAACTTCGCCGTTCAGATCAATTTTGATACAGCGCCTTCCTATGAAATATTTGAGATCAGATCTAGTGATCTGCATCCTAGAGAACTAGTCTCACCGACTAGTGCCCGTAAGTGGCGTAGATTGAGACCTACGTCCTTGGCTACTCTCACAACAACTGTGATCTACTAAATGAGTCTTTAAATCATTTTTACAGTACAATTTAATTTTAAATGAAACAGAACAGTCAAGAATAGGATGATGATGATTCATTATAATAATCTAATTACATTTAAAGAAGGGATCAACAGCTTTACAAGATAAACAAGATCAAAACACATTAAATGCTTATGTATTTCACTGAATGTTTCTGGACTTTCCAGTCTAATATTAGCTGATTTTTTTTCATTATTTTATTATTTTGAATTTATATAGAAATAGGTTACTTTAAAACAATTAGAAAATGATATTTGTAAAATAAATGTTATATTTTAAAATTTTACATAATTTATTTAAAGGGACTTTGATCTTGAAGAACACATTGCTGCACTGCCTAAATGTGATATAGAAATATTAAACAGACCTCGAAGAATGAAAAGACGCAATTCATCATCTAATAACCGACAAGGTATTGTTAAATAATTTTTAAAATGAATTATTTATAATTATTTGAATAAAATTGATTTAACATACATAAAAATAATAATGATGATGAACTTTTGCTATAAATTTCCAAAATTTTCATTGTAATATTGAGTTTAAAGTTTAAGTTCAATTTTATAAATATTGAATATAAATAACAACTTCTTAAAATGACTTTCAGATAAAATTAAATTTCTTTTAGAAATGTCTTTTTGTGTATAATACTAAAATTATTCTGTTTCATATCAAACAATGTATTTTTGTAGATTTTTAAATTTTATTAAATATTAGCTAAGAAAATAAACCAATAAGGAAAACTTATTTTATTCATTTGTTTTAAGATTTTGTGTAAGATTAATTAAGATTGATATTATTTATGAAATACTAAATCAGCGGTTCCCAATTAGTTTTTCCTGTGTACCACTTCAAAAAAAAGCTCAAACTCGCGTACCCCTTATAGCAGAAATTCATATTAATCCATACTAATATTATAAATTCGAAGGTAATTCTGTCTGATGTCTGTTACCTTTTCACATCTAAACCACTGAACAGGTTTTAATAAAATTTGGCACAGAGATAGCTTACATGTTGGAGATGGACATAGGCTACATTTTACTGCGAGAAAATTCGATATAATGCAGGCAAAGCTCTGGGTAGACAGCTAGTGATAAAGATAATAAGTTTTTTTTTTACATTTATTACCTTTAAAATACAATTCTAATAAAAATGAAAATAACATATGGTTATTTTATTTTATTTTAATGTGACAAATGTGCATGATTTTCTTTGCACAACTTTGTAAAATCTGGTTGCTTTTTGGTCAGCTTCAGTCTCAAGTCATCTTCAAGTTCAAGTTGGTGACGATGTTTACTTTTCATATTTGTCATGGCCGAAAATCTGATCTTGCAGAAGTATGTTATGCAAAATGGTAGTAAATATTTTATTGCCGCTTCACTGACATGATAAATGTTTTTTAGGTCAGTCCAAAAATTACCCAGTGATTTCTCTGCAAAACAACACTTGAGTCTGCTGCTGCATGAAATGCCTATTAATTAATTCCTCTTGGTCAGAGATGGGAAGGTGGTTGGTGAAGTTATTCGCAAAAGGATTATTTACCCAGTTCCATTCTGGCGATATTTCTGGGAAATAACTGCATAACTCTGCCGACAAATTTTGCAAGTGGCATTTTATGACTGATTTTACATCTTCATTTAATGACAAAGAAATTGTTTCCAAAAAAAGTTTCAGATTCAGAAACTGGTCATATTTACATTTGTCTATCAAAGATGTCCAGAGAGAGATTTTTTTGATAGTTGACTCAACTTTCTCCTGCATAGTGAATATGGTTATATCCTGGCCTTGAAGGCCCAAATTCAACTCATTCAACTTTGTGAAAATATCTGACAAGTAAGCTAATTTTTGCAGCCACAAAGGGTCAGTCAGCATCTGTTTTGTACTCATCATATTTATACTCGACCAAAAATAACTCAATTTCATGTCTCAACTCAAATATTCTCGAAACAACTCTTCCTCTGGACAGCCAGCACACTTCAGTATGTAACAACAGGTTCTCGTGCTCACTGTCAAGGTCTTTACAAATGGCTGCGAAAATTCTTGAGTTTGTGGAATGGGCCTTGATTAAGTTGACAATCTTTACAGCATTTTTAAGAGTGATGCTTTCTAAGCTGGTTGGA